TTGACCTGCCACTTTCCCTTTTAGCCATAAATGTTCCTTGCACTCCTGCTTGACCCTTTGCCAGTCTGTACTTTTATGAATGAATGCCCCAATACCACCCCCCTTTCTGCTGCCTTCTGTTCTATTACAATACTCCCACGCGTAGTCCGGATTGTTCGGAGGTCGTTCCATGTCCCTGAGATGTGTTTCTACAAAGCCGTATACCATCGGCCTCTCTTCCCTTAGCTGTTCTTCTATCTCTTCCCACTTCAGCCTGTTCCTACCACCCTGCATGTTAATATACCCTATGTCTGAATTGGCTCGGCGCTCGTGGCTACGTCTATTTATGCCCCGGACTCTACGTATCTTAGAAATTGGTGCCACTTTGGAATCGTATCTGTCCATAAAACCTGTCGAAGAGTCTCCCTGGTTGTTTTCCTCGTTACTAGCTATCCTGCTCCCCGAAGGGCTCGCTTGCCCCCCAAAAAAGCTACTGCGCGTCCTGCAAGTCGCCAACCCACCTCATGACCTAGCCGCCCATCGAAGTGAATTCTGTCTCGTTGAAAACCCCCCCACCTATGCACCTCTCTGTTTATTTCCACCACCTCAAAGCCTTTCTCTCGACTCATCCGCCATATCTCTTGGTTTGCATTGACCACCGCTCTTTGCAGGTTGCTATCACGCACCGGTACCTCCCTTTCTTGAAGACAGTGGAATTTATTGTGCTTAGGAGAAGTGGCGCACATGTCATCGACGCCTTTCGCCAGTGTGGTTGCTAGTCCTGCTGCATCTTCATTTAGGACATCGTTTAAACCGCCTGAAATTATCACGAGGTTGCGTCTATCAGCTGTCGTTTCGAGCTTTGCGCTCGCTTGCTTCATGACTGCTTCCAGCTTGCGTCCTGGGAACGCCCCTACTGCAACCCTCTTGTCACCTCTTACCCTCTCTTTGATGGCTTCTGTGCATCGATTTAAATTTGAGTCCCCGGCGATTATCACATGCTGTGACTTTTCCCCTGGAGCGTTCTGCACCTGGGTGTTACTTGCACCTGTGACGCCGGCTCTTTTGTTCCCTTCCTGCCCCACCACTACCTCGCTGAAGCTGGGGCCTTGCGACAGTTGAACCGGCTAAACCTGTTTTTTCCAAGCTTGCTTGCTTTTCCTTCTCCACCGTTCTGGTTGCCGGTTCCCTACTGTTCTCTCGGTAGGTCGCTTCTTTGTTCACTTGGCATAATGTGTGTTTGGCATAATGTGTCGGTAGCGAGCGCCACCGCGCGGAGCTTGTTTGAAACTGAAGGCAGGCCAACTCCGCTGGGAGCGCGAGCCATTCCTCAGGCATCTTTTCAGAGAAGGCGTTGGTCAGACCAACATTCACAAATCGCATTCCACACGGCCTTTATTTTATGCTCGTTATCATCGCTTGTAGATTTGGCGGCAAACACTTCGGGCGAATGCTGTTAACTACTCGATAAGCATGGATGAGAAGCTCCTGAACACGGCGACATCACAGGAATTAACAAAAGCGGCAGCGACTTGCGTATGAACCACTTTCTAACAACAGAAAGCGACCACGTCCCCACGGGCAGAGGCGGTTCTCGCCATTTCAAACAGATTACAGTTCAATCCAACACCAACGTCGGACCAAAACAACATCACGACTAGAATACGATGAACCCGCCACAGACTGTGTGTCACAAGCTAGAGAGAAACTCTACATGAACCACAGAATAAAGAACGCCTAAACCGCCTGAAAAAAGTTTTCTAACACAACGATTCTAATGCCGTCTATTCATACACTTTAAGCCAAGTCAAGCCGGTTTTAAGCGGCTATTGGGTGAACCGAACGTTTTTGCCTTGAAAAGGTTCGTGCCACCGGGTGAACCGAAACACTGCCGTTGAAGAGAACTGGTCTTCGGCTTGTCAGCCAGTTGAAATTTACTGGTTTATACCAGGCCAACCAGTTGAACACTTACAACATGAACTCTTTACAACCAGAATGTTTTCAATGAAAGGTCTACTCCAAATGGAAAGTATTTTACAATTCGTGTGTGCACATTAAATTGGACCAACAAGCATTCCGATTGGGAGGCCAATTGGAATTCGCTGTTCTAATGGTTTACCAATTGCGATGTGTGCAATCAATTGTACTGACAAGCATTCCAATTGGGCGACCAATCGAAAACTGGTGGACCTATTGGAATGACCGATTATAACTGTGTGGTCCAATTGGTCCTCCACATTGAAGCCCCACTTAGAAGTGTGGCAGCTTGGGCTAGTTGGTATGGCATGACGATAGTTATAGCTCGAGAACAAAACGACGACACAGAGACAAGAAGGTCCATCAGCCCGTCCGTCCGCGCGAGCATCTGTGCGTCCATCCATGCATCCGTCTGTGCGTCCGTCCGTGAGTCCGTTCATGTGTCTGTCCATCCGTTCGTGCGTCGATCTAGTGAACACTCCAAGGACCACCATCTCGCATCCCCTGTGGCACATACCCGCTCCGCACGTCCGTCCACTTGTCTGCTGGTCTGTCTGTCCGTCCATCCATGCGTCCGTCTGTGCGTCCATATATATTGTTACGGAAGAGAAGAACAATCCAAGTACCGCCATCTACCATCTCGCATCCCCTGTGGCACATACCCGCTCTAGAGCGGGTATGTGCCACTGGTGGCTACGTACAACATCGGAGGATGTAGAGACTCACGCCTTAAGGAGATTCACTCCTGAAATAGAGCAGGTATGTGCCACTGGTTGCTACGTACAACATCGGAGGATGTAGAGACTCACACCTTAAGGAGATTCACTCCTGAAATGAAATGTCGTCTCATCAGACGAATAGCAAACAGGCATTCTGGGATGAAGGAGGCGAACCTTCTTAGATTAGTGCAGACCTTCATAATAAGTAGGATAGTGTACGTGGCACCTTATTTAAAATTAAACCAAGCGGAGCGGGGCAAACTCGACACCATTATCAGGAAAAGTGTGAAAGTCGCGCTCGGACTTCCCCCAAACACGTCAACTGACAGACTTATGAAGTTGGGGGTATCTAACACACTCGATGAGCTAATTGAGGCTACTGTGACTGCACAACATCAAAGACAACTCGGGTCTAAAACGGGAGAGCAACATTAAAGAGATTAGGCTATGAGCTCATGCGTGAGCAAGCGCGTTCAAAAGACATACCGATACAGATCAGGGACAGGATAAAGATACCTCCGCTACCCAGAAATATGAACCCTAACTTTCACGAAGGCAGGCGTAAAGCCAGGGCAGAGGCATTACAATCTAGGTACACTGGTCGACAGGACGTCGCGTATACAGACGCTGCGGAATATGAAAGCAAAGCGGCACACACGGCAGTGGCGGTCAGGGGAGATGGTGGCCTAATTGCGTGCTGCACAGTACTTGGTGTCGAGACTGTAGAGGCCGAGGAAGTGGCCATAGCTTTGGCCATCAGCCAAAAAGGGGATCAGGGTGGTCATCAGCGACTCCAAAAACGCTGTGAGAAATTACGAATCGGGAAGGGTGACGGAGACTGCCGTCCGTATATTAAACATGGTAGGAGTACCCAAAGAGCAGATTCTGCTTGTCTGGGCTCCAGCTCACCAAGGCCTTAGAGGGAACGAGGAGGCTCATTCCGTCGCCCGAGGTCTCACCTACCGGTCGACCCCTGGAACCTCCCAAGTTACCGAACAAAGAAGCGAGTATATGCGCACATACCATGAAATCATCGCACACTACAGGCTGAATCGGCAAGTGTACCCGAGAGCGGACAACTCACTAAGTAAGAAAAACGAGATTTTGTGGCGAAAGTTACAGACCGGGGTTTTTCCAAACCCCGCACTTTACAGCAAGTGGCACCCCGCAGTTTTCCAGTCCCAGTGTAAATTTTGTGATGAGGTAGCGAATTTGGTCCACATGGTGTGGACATGTCCAAGTCGAAACGATGGTTCTCGCACTGTAGAATCCTGGGAGGCCCTGCTCTGCAGCCCAGATCCCAACGTCCAGCGCGACATCATCAGTCAAGCCCTTGCTGCTGCCGCGTCCCAAGGGATTCCGGCCGACAGCTAGGGGCAACGGGCCATGCCTGAGCAACTGACTGACCTTTTAATAAAGTTTTTTCTCTCTCCTGAAATGACAATTATGTTTGGGGTATAGTGCAGTGAGATAGAGAACCGGCACAATACTGCGAGTGGAATATAGCACAAAGGCCGCCGTCTTATGCCGGGTTACGTCGCGCTATGCACGATTTTTATTTGAAAAGCCTGCTCGTGCTTAGTTAAAAAACTAAGGATATTAGCTACAACTAGCAAAGAGAAAACCGGGCGGGGCAATAGCCTGCAAATTATGCAAGGCTAGATCCGCCGGCTACCTACAACATCCTCAACCTAGCTCACTCCTGAAATGAAATATAGACGTTTTTCCACATATGCAAATGGCATCGTCAGTACACAAATGATCTACGATAATAGAATGCATCTTATATGTTACCGTAAACAGGCAGGGGACCAGTTACTATATTGCATGCAGATTACGATGGGTAAACCATGATTCTACAAATTTTCTTGGGCCCCAGTCTTCCTCCCGGGCCAGTGTCGTCACGCGTCTCACCGATGTAAGTGGCATCACATCATGCAGTGAAAAAAATTATCTTTATAGTGATCAATTCTCTCGGATACATAAACTTTTAAAAGCTATAGTCCGTAAGCTGGATTACTCGAAAGATGCCGGTATTATAATTTTATGCGAAACTAAAATGCGCTATGCGCTGCTAATATAATATTCAACATTTTGTAATTTATCAAATACAGCTGATTCAGCACTATAAATTTGCTTAGGAGCAGCTTTTCCTGGCTTACTTGACATTTCAAGATGGAATAAAGTCGTGATATCTAACGTCAAGAACATGTCATTTAATGTTTCAGAGGAACATAAAATAAATATGCATGCATACATTCGTACACGCAACAGAAAAACAAAAGTGGTCAACACACAAGACAGTGAACAACACGCAAAGTCTGCTCAGTCACGCTGCGGTACGGGGCCTTGAAGACAAAACGTGTCCTCAGCCACCTTCCAACCATTGTTTTCACCCGTCAGTACAAAGACTTCCTTGAACTGCACCCAGCCATCGTCTAAAAACTTTATTAGGCCACCAACAACGAGGCCTAAAGCTCTCTGGCCTTGATGCAAAAAGGCTTCTCCGTCGGCACATATTACGTCTATACGGCAAGCCGGTAGTGAATCATAGAACTTGCCGATATCTTCCTTGGTGTAGCATGTGTTGCCATTCCACACCAGCTTCGCGGTGTCAGCAAAAAAGTTTCTCATCAGGCCTCGCTGGTTTTCAAGAGCATTGTAAAATAGCCCAACGAAGTGCGGTCCAACTCTAGCCACCAGCAGGTCCTCTTGCTGAACGGAGAGCGCATCAGGACTACCCAAACCGGCCATTATTGCGGTAGCGCGTACGATGGCACTTCAAACCTAGGCAATGCCCACAATGTTGCAAGCAAAAAATTGGTGCACAATGTTGCTTACTAAAGAGTAGCCCTCGTTTTGCACATGCGCAAGAAATCTGGGGACGTTTGCGTCGTGTCGTTTAGGTACAACCGAGAAAGACCATATTTCGTGCATTTGTCCCTATATTCGTAGAGAGAGAGAGAGAGAGAATAAACATTTATTAATAACAAATGCACACCGAGCCTTCTTTGGGTGGGGCCCCCAGTCCAGGGCTCCATTGCCTTGCGCCACCCTGCGAGCCCGCTGGACCAGCTGCTGCTGTTCCTGCCGGCGTAAGCTGAGCAGTGCCACGGCCGGTCTCGACTCCTTCTCCGGCGCTCCCCTTACGGCCTTTGCATTGGAGCGTTTTGCTGCCTGCCGCCGCAAGTTTGGGGTGGCGCTGCTAGACCACTGTTGCTATGTGTGTTTTTGGAGAGCTCCGGAATGACAGCTACAGATAAGTGTTTTTGCATGTTTTCAGCTTGCCTCTGTAAGTAGCGTTATGAGAACGTAAGGCGCGTAAAGCTTGATTAGGTCTAGTACGGTGTACGTTTTTTTTTTAGTATTCTGTACTGTGTCTTTTTTTTTGCTCCAGCCACCACGTGGCTGAGGCCTGCGCGTAGACCGACCACGTGCATGCGCAGGTGCTGTGAAGTGTAGCGTATTTATGTATTATTGTGGTTCTTTTTGGCTTAGACCAGTGTATTTTAGTACAGTTTTCTAACACGTGGGCATCGGTAAACTGAGCTAGCCATGGTCAAAAAGACCGTAAAGTGTTCAGAGTGCGGGGTAGGGCGGAAGGTGGAAATTAGTGCGGAAGAGAAAGCAGAAGATGACGCCAAGTGTAGACAGTGCGAGTTCGAGGAGAAAATGAAAAATATGATGGCGGTCCAGAGTGGGCTCATGGAGAAAATCGCAGAGCTGGAGAATGCATTGGCGAAGGAGCGAGAGAAAACGTCAGCCATGGAGGAAAGGCTCCGGGCAGCCGAGAAGGGCCTATCGAAGGTCGTGAAAGGGAACGAAGACGCAGGTGACGGTGGAAGCATTATGGCGACGACCCCCAGTGCGGGAGAGATGAGGGAAACAGGCATGACAAAGGCAGATACATTGGCCACAGGGCCCAGCTACCGGGAAGTAGTTTTGAGGGAGGGAGGGAGCAAACCAGCAGCCGTGACTCACGCTAGTCACCTAGTCAGCAGCCAGGTGCAGGTTTCAGAAGGAATGTCTGAACAGGTCATCATCGCCGGTGACTCAAATTTAGTCCGATGCGCAGCAGCAATCAAAGAAAGGGTGAAAGGCGACAAGAGAGTTGCGATAGGGACGTTCCCAGGACAAACGCTGGGGACAGTAATGAGTCAAGCGGGTGAACAACTCGCAGCTAAAGCTAACAATCGTAACCTCGTTGTAATTGCGGGAGGGTTAAATGACGTCCTGAAAAAAGAATCGTCAGGACTAGCGACGACCTTGGCAAAAGGGGTGGATGACATGCGCACCGTGTCCCCCCAGGTGCAAATTGTAGTATGCACAGTACCGGAAGTACCAGTACGCAACGTCAACCTGCAAAGAGCAGTTGTCGACGCAAACAAAGAGATATGGCGAATTAGTCGAGAGAAGGGTTTCGAGGTAGTGGATTTAAACAGGGAAGTGCACAGGTGGGGTGGATTCCAAAGAGACAAGATTCATTTCGATAAGAGGCTTGGACACGAGGTGGGCTGGCGACTGGCAGGACGCGCAGTAGCTTTTTTGGGGGGCTCACGGGCCCTTCGGAGTCCGGGGTAGCTCGTAATAGGGAAAACAACCAGGAGGACGCTTTGACAGGTAGAATTGCGAAAAACCAGAAAAAAGGTAAAAGAAAAAGGAAAAAGGCGCGTGTTGCAATTAGTTACATAAACATGCAGGGTGGCAGAAAGAAGGCAAAATGGTTAGAGATTGAGGAGCAGTTAAACAAAGAACAGATAGGCGTGTATGCGGTTACAGAAACACACCTTAGAGACCTGGAAGAGCCACCACATATTAAATATTATGTTTGGGAAGGGTGTAACAGGACCATATCGGAAAGGAAAGGTGGGGGTGTAGGAATGCTAATTCACCGCGGAGCCAAATGGGTTAGAGTGAAACAGACGTGTTCAGAGCACCTCTGGGTTCTGGGCACAGTAGGTGGAAAGGAAACGTGGCTAGGGGTAGCCTACTTGTGGACGGGGAATAACTGCAGAGAAAAGAATCAGGAGATAGTGGATTGCATGAGTGCGGATATTAAGGAATTTGGTAATGGGGCCGAAATCATCCTTCTAGGGGACATGAATGCCCACATACATGACCTTGACGGATATTCAGACACCAATGGGAAGTTATTACTAGATCTTTGCGAGCAACATAGTCTGGAGATAGTTAACACGGGCTTAAATGTGACGGCCAGATCACATGGGAAGTCGGAAACAAGCAATCAAGTATTGATTATTGTCTCATGACTGAAGGAATTTACCACAAACTGACAGAAATGAGGATAGACGAGGAAGGCATTAACAGCTTGGGTAGTGATCATAAACGAATAACATTACAAATGGGATACGAAACTGAAAATATGAGCATGGAATCAAAGTCTGGCAGCTCGTATTTAAATGACAAACAAATAATAAATATAGCCGCAAGAGTCGAGGAAGAAGTAGGCGAAATACCAGGCAAGGACTGGGAGTATAGTGAGCTGTTACATCTAATGACGAAGGAGATAGGGAAAGAGAAGAAAACTGTTTGCTGGAAAGGAAAAAGGAAGCCAAAAAGTTGGTGGAACAAGGAAATCCGGGAGGCGATCGAGAAGCGACGCGAAGCATCACGGGAGCATAGAAAGGCAAAAAAGGAGAAGCGGCCGCAGGACGAAGTCAAAAAAATATGGGAAATATATTTGGAGAAAAAATCCCTTGTACAGAAATTGGTAGAGGCAAAAATTAAAGGTGAAAGTGAACGCTGGATGACAGAGATACACGAAAAAAAGGAGGCCGCGCCTAGGATTTTTTGGAGCCACATAAAGGCGCTAGGTAGGAAGTCTGTCACAACGCAACAACATATTCTAGATGAAGGAGGAAATCAATTGGAAGGGTACGAAGCGCTAGGTTACATCCAAAGGTAACAGCCGATTCGTTTCAAAAGAGCGTCCAGGGGATCTCCCCGGTGAGTAAAAGTGTGGCGGAGAAAGCAACAGAGAAAGAGCTAGTACTTGATAATTTCAACTGGAAAAAGGCCGAAGGAAAAATTCCAAAGCGCACTGCCGCGGGTTTAGATGGGATTCCCGTTAGCCTCATTAACGAACTAGGACATAACACTAAAGAAGCATTGTTAAAAGCAGTTGAAAAAAGCTTAAAGGACGGACAAATACCGGACAGTTGGCGACAAAGTAGAATGAACTTAATCTATAAAGGCAAGGGAGAAAAGGACAAGATTCGCTCGTATAGACCACTAACCATTACATCGGTACTATACAGGTTGGCGATGCAAGCAGTAAAAATGAAAATAGAAACATGGGCCGAACATAACGATATTTTGGGAGAACTTCAGAACGGATTTCGAGTCGACAGGCGGTTAGACGATAACCTGTTTGTTCTCACTCAGTGTATAGAAATATCTAAAATAGAGAATAGGCCCTTGTACGTGGCTTTTCTAGACATCACTGGGGCATACGACAACGTTAATCAGGAAATTTTGTGGGATATATTGAAAGGAATGGGCATGGGCGATGACTGTATACAGCTTTTGAGGGAGATATACCGAGAAAATACAGTTGCATAGAGTGGGAAGGAATGCGTAGCAAAGAGAACGTTGAGGTTAGCAGGGGTCTGAGACAGGGATGTCCTTTGTCCCCACTGTTATTCATGCTGTACATGGTGAGTATGGAAAAAGCGCTAGAAGGTAGCAACATTGGTTTTAATCTGTCACACAAACAGGGCGGCATGATGATTGAGCAGAAGCTTCCAGGTTTATTTTATGCGGACGATATCGTCTTATTTGCGGACAGTCGAGATGATATACAGCAGCTGGCGAATATATGCGGAAGGGAAGGTGAAGCTCTTGGACTAGGATTCAGTGTAACGAAGTGTGGATTGATGGTATTCAATGATCCCTGTGATCAGACGGTGTCCATACAAGGCCAGGAAATACCGAGGGTAAGTGAATACAAGTACCTTGGAGTATGGGTAAATGAGAGTGATAGATACATGGAGGTACAGGAAAAAGCCTCGGCAGCAAAAGGAAAGAGGAATGCGGCAATAATGAAGCACAGAGCGTTGTGGGGATACAATAGGTATGAGGTGCTTCGAGGTCTGTGGAAGGGTGTAATGGTTCCAGGGCTTACTTTTGGGAACTCAGTGGTGTGCATGAGGGCAGAGGTGCAATCGGGAATGGATGTAAATCAAAGGACTGTGGGACGCCTCGCGTTAGGTGCTCACGGGAAGACGACAAACGAGGCTGTAAAGGGCGATATGGGGTGGGCAGGTTTTGAGGCGAGGGAAGCGCAGAGCAAAATAAGGTTCGAAGAAAGGCTAAGAAATATGAAGGAGAGTAGATGGGCAGAGAAGGTGTTCGGTTATTTGTATAGGAAGAGCGTGGACACACAGTGGAGAAAAAGAACTAGAAGACTCACTAGTAAATATACGGCTGGTATTGTGAGCCATATGTCAACAAAGAGCGTTAAGGGAAAAGTCAGGGAGGCGGAGAGGATTTACTGGATGGCAGCTATGGAGAAAAAAACCGGCTCTGAGTAACTACCGAAAGGGCAAAAATGAAATAAGGAGGGAGGCATTTTACGATAATTCAAGGGGAAGCGCTTTACTGTTTGAAGCGAGATCGGGTTGCCTTAGAACGCGTAGTTATAAAGCAAGATTCAGTAAAGAAGAAGAACAATGCACATGCTGCGGAAAGATAAGGAAACGGCGGAGCATGTTCTGATTGAATGTGGAGATATC